GTCTCGCTGCCCAGTGTAGAGGAAAGAGAGAAGACAGGACACAGTTGGTCTCAAGAGACAGCTCAAATCTGTGTCAGATATTACAGGTCATAACAACTGTGAAAACCACCTGGGCTTTTTGTTCATGCTAAATGTAATCATCTTTACGGTGCTAGATGTAGGAATTACTGGATCAGAATTAGTGATGTTATGCAGGCATTTGGAATAGCAAAACGTTTCTCTTCCTTTGCAAACTGGTGATCTTAACATTGAAATAACATTTTTCATGATTTCCTGAGTTGACTGCTTGCGTGGAAAGCCTGTGTGTGGGATGGGGGTCTGCGTTATCTGTGGATTTTGGACAGAAAATCCTTGTGCTCAGAGGAGACCAGCATGTGGGCAGAGTTAGGGTGAGGTTTTCTTCATGTTAGATGACAGTATGCTTTCCACTGCTTCTTAACCATGTTTGATTGCCCTCTAATTTTTGTAAGAAATAAGACTGGGATAACATACTGTTCTGTATCGGCTGTTCCATGACTGGAGTCCTGAAGCCAATTTTAAATATGATATAGATGTTGCCATGAATAGAAAACTCTTCCAGGAAGTGAATGCCACTCCTCATCAGAATCTATCCAGCAAATGTACTGTCAGTTTTTGTTTCTCAATGGCATGACTGAAATTGCCACATCTTACACTCATGCATTCAGAAACTGTTTGCCTAGAAATGTATGTTTGTAAGTAACAATAAAAGTTTTAGGGGACAGTCCCTCTACAGCTGCCAGATATACTGGGAATGTTAATGTGAAAACAAGTTGATCAGTCAGCTACAGAGAGATGAGTGTTCTTTTCTGAAGCTTGGATTATAGTTCAGGAACGCCAGTTCTAGATCAGTCATAGAAAAGGAGGTAGCTATCTAGCAATCCACTGGAAATAACATTACTCCTTTAGCTGGCTTCATTCTTAGAACTCTTGTGGTGTAAGTCAATGATTTTAGCTTTAATTATGCTGTCATATTTTTTATAATTGAAAGAGGGAGTAGCTGCACTATGCCACCCTGCCACCCTCACTAAATCCAGTACATCCTGTTCTTTAATCTGTTTAAGGTGAGGTCATGTTTTTAAAACTGACCTCTAGCTCTGAATCATAGAACCATAGAATGCTTATGGTTAGAATGGACCTTAAGATCATTTAGTTCCAACCCCCCTGCCATGGGCAGGGATGTCTCACACTAGACCATGTCACCCAAGGCTCTGTCCATCCTGGCCTTGAACACAGCCAGAGATGGAGCATTCACTGGTTCTTTGGGCAACCTGTTTTAGTGCCTCACCACCCTCACAGGAAAGAGCTTCTTCCTTATATCCAATCTAAACTTCCCCTGTTTAAGTTTGAACCCATTACTCCTTGTCTTATCGCTACCATCCCTGATGAAGAGTCCTTCTCCAGCATCCCTATAGGCCCCCTTCAGATACTGGAAGGCTGCTATGAGGTCTCCATGCAGTTTTCGCCAGGCTGAACAGCCCCAACTTTCTCAGCCTGTCTTCATACGGGAGGTGCTCCAGTCCCCTGATCATCCTCATGGCCCTCCTCTGGACTTGTTCCAACAGTTCCATGTCCTTTTTATGTTGAGGACATCAGAACTGCCCACAATACTCCAAGTGAGGTCTCACGAGAACAGAGTAGAGGGGCAGGATCACCTCCTTCGGCCTGCTGGTCACGCTCCTTTTGATGCAGCCCAGGGTATGGTTGGCTCTCTGGGCTGCGAGCGCACACTGCCAGCTCATGTTCACTTTGTCATTCACCAACACCCCCAAGTCCTTCTCCGCAGGGCTGCACCGAGTCTCTTCTCCACTCAACCTCTAGGTGTGCCTGGGATTGCTCCAACCCAGGTGTAGGACCTTGCACTTGGTTTGGTGGAACTTCATAAGGTTAGCATAGGCCCATCTCACAAGTGTGTGGAGGTCCTCTGGATGATATTCCTTCCCTCCAGTGTATCAACTGAACCACACAGCTTGGTGTTATCAGTAAACTTGCTGTGGGTGCACTGAATCCCACTGTCCAGGTTGCCAACAAAGATGCTGAACAGGATCCATCCCAGAACCAACCCCTAAGGGACACCACTCATTACCCGTCTCCACTCGGACACTGAGCCACAGACTACAACGCTGCATGAGGCCATGTGGCCAGTTCTTTATCCACGGGGTAGTCCATCCATCAAATTTACGTCACTCCAATTTAGAGACAAAGATGTCGTGTGGGACAGTGTCGAATGCTTTGCACAAGTCCAGGTAGAGGATATCAACTGCTCTACCGCTGTCCATCAGTTCTGTAGCCCCATCATAGAAGGCCACCAGATTGGTCAGGCAGGATTTCCCCTTAGTGAAGCCATGCTGGCTGTCACCAGGCACCTCATGGTTTTGCATGTGCCTTAGCATGCCTTCCAGGAGAACCTGCTCCAAGATTTTGCCAGGCACAGAGGTGAGACTGACTGGTCTCTAGTTCCCTAGGTCTTCCATTTTGCCCTTCTTGAAAATGGGGATTATATTTGATGAATTGGGAATTGAAGTTCATTGGCAACTTCACCTGACTGCCATGATTTTTCTAATATGTTGGGCAGTGGCTTAGCAAATTCATTCACCAGCTCCTTCAGGACCCACAGATGGATTTCATCAGGTCCCATGGACTTGTGTATGTTCAGCTTCCTAAGTTGATCTTGAACCTGATCCTTTCCTACAGTGGGCTTGAGGTCATCATTCTCCCAATCCCTGCATTTATCATCAAAGACTTAAGTGGCATGGTCAGAGCACTTGCCAGTGAAGACTGAAGCAAAGAAGTCATTGAGGAGCCTTCTCTAAATCCAGGGTAGCCAGTTCTCCCATTTCCTTCCAGAAAGGACCCGCACTACCCTAGTCTAGGTAGGTCTTTTGTTGATGACATACCCATAGAAGCCCTTCCTGTTATATTTGACATCCCTGGGCTGACAGTTCTAACTGGGCCTTAGCTTTCCTGACCTGATCCTTAGTTTACCAGACAAGGTCCATTTATTCTTCTCAGGTCACCTGTACTCGCTTCCACCTCCTATAAGCTTCTTTCATTCTGAGTTTTCTCAGCAGTTCCTTATCCATCCATGGAGGACTCCTGGCCTTCTTGCCCAATTTCCTTCCTGTTGGGAGACAACACTTCTGAGCTTGGAGCAGATGATCTTTGAATATCAGCTAGCATTCTTGGCCCCCTCTGCTTTCTAGGGCTTTATCCCATGGAAACTTACTGAGCAGGTTCCCAAAGAGACCTAAGTCTGCTCTCTTGAAGACCAGGGCAGTAAGTGAGCTTGCTGCATGCCCTTCTTACTGTCCTGAGGGTCTTGAACTCCAGGATCTGTGAGTTAAAGCTGACATCTCTCAGTTGGGGAGGAATTTGCTCTTCCATGCAAATGCGCTTGTCTGCATGGAGGTCTGACCCATCCTCTGCTCCAATAATTTCTGTGGGTAGTGCAGTAGCTGCTCTGTAGGTGCAGTTCTCTTGCTCTGTTCTGGTATCTGTTGCATATAAAGCCTGCTGATGGCTGGGAAGCAGCAATTTGGATTGTTTCTGTTGCCAGACATCAGTGTTGTGAACGCTAATACCTTGTTTCCTCTGGTCTAATGTGGAAAATAATGCACTGGGAGCTATAGGGGAGGGACATTAATATTGCATAAATCCTTTTAATTTATGAGCAGGAACATTGGCAGGATGGTGGGAAGTGGGCAGAAGGATGGATCTCCCTTGTAAAGACCAAGCTGCCAAGAGTTAAAATGGTTACAAAACACCAGTGGTCCAGATTTGCCAGGAGCTGTGCTCTGCCTATCGCACTGAGCTCTTTATTCCACATGAATAAGTTTCATGGAAACTGAGGGGGCTGCTGTGGAACTGAATTCTGCGCAACAAACTTGGGATCAGTAATTAAGTCTCAGACTTTGTGCTGCAAAAAATGTTTCAGTCATGAATAAAAAAGAGGAAGAATAATTTACAAGAGACACTGATGGGTTGGCTGGTGGTATTTGTAGGATGTGATTCAAACCCACTTAATGTCAATGGCTATCTTTCTGTTAACTTCAGTGGAGCTGAGCTACAGGGAGCTTTGTTATGTTTCATCCTTATTAGTTTGGTGTGGTAGTTCCCAAGGGTGTGCATAGGATGGCTGTCCTCTATTGTACACTCACAGAGGAGGCCATTTGGGCAACAGAGAGCTTACACTCTAGAGAGAGAAGGGACAAGAGCAGAGCAACAGAGCATCATACCCTCCTGCTGATTGGGAAGGAGCAACAACAGAGGGAGGGGAAAATGAAAAGCTTGTATCTTGGTATAGAATGAAAGAGGAGGTGGCAAAAGAAAAAGTTCATCAATGCTAATATTCCCATGTGACAGTTTGTGACTGGTTGGTTTGGGCAGTTGCTGGCCAGTTCTCGTCTATGTGTCCCAGACTCACTGCATGTGCATTCAGATAACCTGTCTCTGGTCTCAGCAGAACCAGTTAACTGGGAGCCTAAGCACCTGATCCTGATCTCACCAGCTTTAAGGGTTTATATACCTTTAAGTTAAGCATGTGCTGAATGACTTTGCTAGTCTGGTACTAGGTGTTCGGTACATGCGCCTGGAAGGGCATAGGGAGAGTTTGCACTGACTAGACTCTAGGAGAAACATTAAGTGTTTTGTGATTGGTGCAGCCAATCTGGAATATACCACAAACACCAGATTAATCTCATTTGAAAGCTTTGAATTAAATCTGTTTACTGTAGTGGAGCCTCCCACAGTTCTCCACCTTCTTTTTGTTTCCTGGTATATTTTCATTTGGGAAAGCTGCAGTGTGTGTGTCTTCTCTGTGGTCGACTGAATTGTGATACTGCTAAATTTTTTGGTATTATTGTTAAAAAGGAAACCCACAACATCATTAGATTTTCTCCCCTGCTCCTTTACATTGCCTTGAATTCATTCCTGCTTAGGTCTTAACCAAAACCTACTTACTTTCCTGTTTCTTATCCTTTCAGCTTCTTCAAATGCAATGACTCAGCAGCTACAGGATGAATTTGACAGTAGTGTGGAGAATGCAGAAGCATGGATGAAGGCCATCCAAGAGAGACTGAGTATCAATGACAACACCAAGGGACCTCGATCTGCCCTAGAAGCCAGACTGAGAGAGACTGAGGTAAGGGAAGAGTGATGTAGTGTTTCAGAGGTGGCTGTCACTGCTACTGTTGTTACAGCATTTATTGCTGTGAACTCTGTGTTAGCTGGAAAACTGTTAGCTGCCCCTGCTTGCTAGAATATTTGTCCTGTGTGGATGGGTTTACATCTGTATTATTCCTAATTTTTCCACCTGCAAAATGTTTACAGGCATCGTAGAAAAAGAGGATGGCAATTCGATATCACAGGCTTTCAAGCTGTTCAGATTGATTTGGAAAACTAGCAGCAGGTTTGGCAGGTTAAAATATTTACACTGTCCTATGATCATGCTTAAATCTGAAATAGTTGCGTTCCTGCTTGCAATTAGGAGTGATTTGCAGAAATCCAGCATATAGTCTGAGAGAATTAGATCACGTTAGTGTTCCATCTCCTCTAGGACTCTGTCACTGATGGAGGAAGATTGCAGTGTCCTGTTAATGAGCAGTTCTAGAGTAATCCCCCTGTCCTTTTCCATAAACCCTGACGATTAAAGGGTTTACAGGACCCCTTAATAATCTGTCTAATGAAAAGGTAAATGTTTTCATTTTTTTTCTGATTTTACTTAGACTCTTATGTAACTCTTCTCACAGAGATCCCGTTGCAGATTGCGCCTGCTTTCTTACTGTGATTTCACATTCATTAACTTCAGTTTCATTAGATGTTATTTTGGTCTCATAATCTCAGAAAAAAAAAACAATCTTGTTTGTCCCATCTTTACCATTCATGAGGGAGTGGTGGTATGTCTGTGATTAACATTGAAACTATTTTTATACTTGTATTACCTTTAATTCAAACTAGTATGTGTATGGCCAAATCTTTCCCATAATTACCCTGAAGTCTTTCTTTTTTGTGTGTCTTCTCATGTTTGGAGTCTCTCTTCTGAGGTTTAAAAACTCCAGAAAGATCCACATTGGAGGCCTACATGTCTTCAGCCTTTTTCCTTAACTGTGGCTCATTGAACACTGGATCTTGCCTCTCTCATAATGTAGAGACTTGTAGGAGTGATGGATGATGGCTAGACTTGCATGTCAGTTATAAAAAATCTGAAGTATTTCCTCTTGGTCTATAGATTTATTTCTGCTCTTAAATGATTTTCACTCATTTCTTTTGTCTGGGAAACTGATATTTGCAGTCTCAAAAAATATGCAAGAAACACGGGAACTTGAGTAGGAGAGTGGTAGTTTGGCAAAAGGGGTGCATTCATGGCAGAGAGAACAAGGTGTAAGGTTTCGAGGTTTGTGGTGATTTAGTATGGCCTGAACTGAAGCCTGTTGACTTCTGTAGGATTTGAAGGAGGCCTATAACAAGCAAAAAATCATGTTAGAAGATTTTTTTTTCTATTCAGACTTTGGGAATTCATAATTCTAAAGAGTAGCAAGTGTTTGTTCTCTCTTCCTGTCTGTACCTTATCCACTTCCTGCTCCCTCATCCCACCTCCTTTCTGGGCCTGGCTTCCCTGTCCATCTCACATGCCCTCGTGATGTGCTTGCTGCTTCACCTATTGGCTATTTTCAAATGTAGCAATCATTTTTTCAGTTCCATTTTTACATCTGGTTTGCTTTTTTTTCTTTTTTTCTTCTTTTTTTTTTTTTAATGCTTTCTTCCTGTTGTTTATTTTCTGTTAATTCATCAATGAAATGCCAGCCAAAGATAGCAGTCATTTAAAAAACAGATTTGAAAAGTGCACAGCCACTGCTTTCTCTCTGGCTGATATTTGCTTTAACCTGTTGGAAAAATGTCAAGCTTGGAATACAGCTTTACTCCTAATTTTTTCCTGTCAGGTGATAGCCATGGCATTTATTTTCATTCTCTTCCCTACCCTTTGCCCTGCTTTCCTGGATTCTTTTAATCACACTTTTCATAGTAGATAGTTCATCCAGACACTGGTTTGAGCATCACATGCAGATGTGCTGTGTACATGCAAGAAGAACATTTTTTTTCCTAGAATGTGAAACTGGAAATCAAAGGCCTGTGATTTGGTCTGAGCTTAGCAATAACTGCCATGATCTTTTTGAGCAAATCCCATAGGCCTAATCTTTCCAAAAGCTGCTGGTTTTGAATCTCTCAGTGTTCTAATTGTAGAAGTCTTTTCCTTCAAACTTGAAAGTACGACTTGCCAGGAGTTTGTGAAAAAAACAGCAAAAAAAGGTAATCTGATGGTATTAGAAGTTTGGATAAAGTGACACTGAAAGCTGACATCCAAATTGGGACCTAATTATCTGTTGCATTGTACAGAACTTGTACGAATTTTCCATCTCTGGGTAGAGGAGAAGAGTGTACTTAAAATTAGATGGATTAACTTTCAGTTCCTGGCATTCCAATTGATGTAAGATACATGTTTTCACCATAACTTAGCAATTTAGGGTAAAAGCAAAATTTGGTAGCAGAAAATTCCACTACTTAATTTCTCTTGGCTTGTTTTCTGAGCCAACTTCTATTTGCAGTAGGAAGCCTTTTTAATATGTTTCATGATTTTTATAGTAGTCTTTAAAACTGAGGTGATGCAGTGTGCCCCTGTGGAAATTGCCTCTACATTCTGGCAGGTGGGAGAGAACAACTGACATGGGGCAACATAGTGCTATAACACTGTAACAGCAGTGGAAATACAGCTGCAGATATTTGATAGACAATGACCTGGGTTTTGTAGTTAAATATTTTTCAACTGCTGCATGGTTTTGAATTAAATTCAGTCCCTTATAATGCTTAAGAAGAAACAAATCTGAAGAAAAGTTCATACTTTCCTTTCAGGAGAAGTTTTGCAGCAGGGACTTTAGGATTCCTGGGTAAACCCAAAGTTTAAGTTTCGTCAATTTATACTTGCTTTCTTTTCATGCTTTCAGTCCTGTTTGTTTTTCTTACAGAAAATACGTGCACTGGAACCTGAAGGCAGCTTGAAAATTGACTTGATTCTTGTGAAGGCAGATGCTGCCCTTCGCAGCATCAGTGAGGATAAGAAGCATGAGATACTGTCTAAACTGAAAGACATTAAAGCCTTGTGGGAAGAGACAGCCATATACATTACTCACTGTCACAGGTAAGACAAACGTACTTTCTGTTATACTGAGGCAATTGTCTCATCCAGTGCTTTCATAAAGTGCTTCCTGTCTCTCTCTGATGCCTGGATTGTAGATAGCGATCACTGCTAATCCCAGTCCCACAAGCATATTGTGGGACAGTGTGGGAAGAGAGGGTCAGTGGGTCCTCGGTGCTCTCTGCTTTCACAGCCCCGTCCACCTCATGGCCTGGAATGATGAGTTTGGCCAGGCACAGAGGCCCTGTACAGCATATTTTCTCCACAGAGTAGAGAGGCCCTGAGAAGTGAATCTGGACCCTCTGAGATCAGAGCAGCTTAAAATTGCTGAGAACCATGTCCTTTGCTCTCAAGGCTTTATGAGCTTGCCAATCTCTACTGCACCCATCATAATTTCATCTAACTCATCTCTCTTGCTGTTCCCAACAGCCGTATTGAGTGGGTGTGGCTGCACTGGAATGAATACCTGAAAGCCCAAGATGAGTTTTACACATGGATTCACAACATGAGTGTGACCTTGGAGCCTGACATTGAGTTGCAGCTTGGCTTAAAGGAGAAGCAGTGGCAGCTGAGCCACGCTCAGGTTCTGCTGAATGATGTCTTAAATCAGTCAGTCCTGCTGGAAAGACTGCTAGAGGAAGCTGCTTCCTTGTTCAGCAGGATAGGTGACTCCAGCGTTGATGAGGATGTTCAGAAGAAAATGAAGGTGGAATATGAAAAAATCAGGGAGCAAGCTGAGGTACACCTATAAAGAGTGGGAGCTGTTCAGTTTTCACCAATATACAGTATTGTTTGCTGTTTGCTTCTTGAGTGATGTGGCTAACCTGGTAGTACTGCAAAAAGAAACAGAACTGAGCACCCCTGTTCTTTCAGTCAGTGGACTGTTTGTAAAAGTCATCATGTTCCAAGATAAGCTTTTAATTGTGATGCTGTTACACTGTGATTTATAGTAATATTGTTGTAACTGCAAGCTTCTTGCTGTGGCCTAGTGAATATTGGATTAGGTAATCTGTATAAATTTTTAATTATTTCTCATCTTTCAACATGTTAGTGAATTTTTGTATAGCCAGATGAAAAGTACCCATTCCTGGAGCCAGGGAATATTGCGTGCACACACCCTTGTTGGAGGAAGTAGCATTAGTCCAGATCCTGAGTTGCACTCCCTGTTTGCAGAACTGGGAAACACTGAGCTGGTAATCAGCTGTGGCCCAACACTGAGCTCAGCTAGCTGGTTCCAGTAATCTGAAAGATTTTCACTGCACACAGATACTAATTCTTGCCTGATGCTAACCTTCCAGCTTGAACAGTTATTAGATACCCTGGTGTAAGACATCCTGGTTCATATTTCAGTGCCAGTGATTTCCTTTAACCCTATTGCTGGGCAAAGATTCCAGGTAAGGATCATACTTTTCAACTCTAAAACTTGGGTAAAGACAGGATTGGACCGCGTGGCATGTCTGAGGAGCAGACATCTGCAGGTGAGGGGAATTCAGTTTTTTACTAGCTTATACAGTAGAAATCTTCAAAAGGATATCTGAAATAGACAGACACATCTATCCCAAGCATTTGGAGATCAAAATCTAGTTTTTGTCTCACAGTGGCTTCCAGGAATTCCATAGGCTGGAATTACCTGGTGCAAATACAGGTAATTTTCATTACTTTGGTTCTGCTATCTGCCTCTGTCATAATGCTGCTTTTTATTTGTTCCCACACCTACACCCCAGTTCAGAACTGAAACCTGACAGTGATGTATGCTTCCCCCCCCCCCAGCTGCTGTTGTACAAAGTTAGCTTCAGATAACACTGGAAGAACACCATATTGGGATGCTTGTGCCATTGCTTTGCTTGCTCTACACATACTTTTTAAATAAAACAGCCTGAACCCCCAAACAGTGAAAAACCTCCTGAGCTGGCATCTTCTGTGAGCATGAAATTCAGGTATTCTTTAGCCATAAAGATAGAACTCTTAGTAAGTCTCTCCAAAAACCAAAATATATTTGGAAATGTTGTAACTGCACAGAAAGGATGTAAAACCACTGACAGACCTGAGCTCCAGTGCTGATTTAGTTTTCAAGGTAGATCTCTTGATTACAAGGCAACTGGATTTACAAATAAGAAAGTTCCTGGGAATTCAGGTGTTGTTTATCTGGATTGCCATTTAAAATTCTCATTTACTCCCTTCTAATCAGGATTTGTCTTTGGTTTTGAAGCAGGAGACAGTCATTAACTAGTTTAATAAGGCTGTTCTTTCAAACAAGTCATTTGAATACTCAGAGCCAGAATGTGACCTCTTTGAGACTGGTTTTACATAGTATAATTTCTCTAACTGACTTGGATACATGCTGGTGTAAATAAGATCAGGAAGTGGCTCATAATACTTAGACAAAATATGTCTTTATGTCTCCTGCTAACTGAGACGCTAGGAAAAGCTTTTCTTTGGCATTGGTTACAAATACCACATTTCATAGAAGAATTGAGTGAGAGAATCCAGCTAAGAAATCCCTCTTTCAGGTGGTGTGGAACAAAGAGAGTTGGAAAGCCTTGAATTTTGCAGCTGAAGTAAATGTAGAGTTCATTAGCTAATGCCAAGGTTATGGGCACCTTGGGAATCATGTTGGAAAGCGTAACACTTGTTAGAGAAACCCTGCTACCTCTTCCAACAGGAGGGAGGATTGAATGGAAGAGACAAAAGAGTTGTAAGGGAATTGTTTGGGCCCCCCACATAATGAGAGGCCAGGCTAAATGTGACTCGCAGATGCCAGCTAAATGCCTGAGCTGCCTCCCAGAGGAGGCTGACTGGTGTTTGTAGGTTGCACTCGTGTTTGAAGAGCATTTTTAGATCCTGTGCAGTTGTCCAACTCTATCAGAAGGCAGGCTCTTGGACAGTGTTTCTTAAATGGTTTGCCTGTGACATTGCTTCTCTGGTATGAGCAAATGGTGGAGGCTGTTTTTTTTTCCTTAGTGCTAACATGTGTCCTTATCATTCCCAAATTTTAAAAGCCCATAATTTGCTTTTAATTACATTGACAGGAATATTAGATGTGGAAGCCATTTCCTGTGTGCTTTCCCTTGCCTAGTAAAGTAACAGTATGCAGAGGTAGATGCTTGTGGGTTTTAGCATAAATAATGACTGAAGATGGTAAGAAAAGTTATGATATACCATATGTTCATATTTAGTCAAATATATCAAATATGTCTGAGCACAACAAATGAATTTCAGTTTGTGTTGTCTCTTAACTGAAACCTAGATATTTATAATGCCAACCCTTATGTACCCTAGAGCTAAGACTAAAAGCACCAGGAAGGGCTACAGGAGTTTTCTGAGTACTGGAGTACTCTGCTTTCATAGAATCATAGAATAGTTAGGGTTGTAAAGGACCTTAAGATCATCTAGTTCCAAACACCTGCCATGGGCAGGGACACTTCACACTAACCCATGTCACCCAAGGCTCTGTCCAGCCCGGCCTTGACCTCTTCCTCTGCAGCTCATGGCAAACCGATTATTTTCCTGTCAGTGCTGTCTTTCCAGGGCCATGTGCTTGCTTAATGTCTCCTCACATTAACTAAATGCATGTGGAGATTGAGTTTAACACTGTCCTGCTCCCTGATCAGCTAGTCTAACAGAAGTGGTGTTTTCCATCACTTCCCTGCCTAACCTCTTGGGAGAGCTGGTGGGACCCAGCCAGCTCTTTGTAAGCCTGTTTTTTTGACAGCTAGCACAGTCTGTCTAGATCCATGGCATCTCTTCCTTGACCTCACAGGCCAGCAGCAGTGTCCAAACTGTGTGCTCCTTTGTTTTAGCTGAATAGCCTGGGCAGGGGTGAGTCATTTCGACTTCCTTTTTAACCCTTTATTTATTAATGCAAGACTTTTGAGTTTAATAATAGCTCCACTTTGTTATCCTGACCTACTCTCTTTGGAGCTTCTGTCAGTGCAACAAATCAACCTGATTCCTTGGAATGCATAAGCTTGGACTGACTTGTTTCACTTTTTTGGCCCATTTACACTGCTATAAAATTGATCTCCCTAACATGAGATCAAGGTGCAAATTGTTTAACATGTATGCACTTCTGCAGATTTGAGAATCAAAGCAAGGGGATGTAGCAAACATGTGAGGTGTTTTGCTATATGCATCTTAGCCACAGAAGTCTACAGTCATAATTCTGCTTTTTGGTCTCATCTAAACCCATGTTTGCATAGATGGTGCTATTAAAGGTTCTAATAAGTGGGCAGTATTTCATCCTCCATGGGAATCAGTTGTCCCTTAGCTGTCCCTCTTTTGTACCAAGGCAAGTCAACTAACTTTAAGGGAGTCACTCTGGATTTGTACCAGTCAGCGGAGATTGCAGTGGCAGTGTGGAAAACAGGCTGGTGTTATGCCACCCATTTGTGGCTTTGTACTGCACCACAGGCATAACCTGTCACAAAGAGGAAGGGCAAAGTTCCACGTGGACTGGCATTCCACAGCACATGGGAGATCCCATGGTGACTGATGTTCATGCTGCCCCTCTGTTGGCCTGGATGAAGAGATGTTGACAGAATGGCAATGGCCCACTGCCACCTCAGGCAGGTTGGCAGATGTGATGACATGCCCAGGGCCTCACAGAGACAAGTGAAATGCAGAGTGGGCTTGAAATTCTGTCCACCATTGCAGCTATCACCCTGCTCTCTGTGGAGGGCAGCTAGAGTGAAGCTCTAGCATGGGATGTGTCCCACATTATGCAGAATAAAACTCAGCCTGTTGTGTGTAACAGCAAAGCCTTTCAGTAGTGCTGCAAGCACTAAATGGGTTGCACAAGGAACAATTTTTTACTAATGTAACCATAGTGTACCGCAGTTGCTCCCCATGCCAACTGGTGAAGGGCAAGAAAAAATTATTCTGATTTCATAGGAAGTAATTTCAGGTTAGATATTATACTAGTGAAACAACAGAGCAGGATTAACTGTGATTTGTGTAAAATTTTCTTCAGCAAGACCTAAGCTTCAGCTGACAAACAGGGATAGCCTAGGTAAATGTGACTCTTGTCTTGTTGCAAGGATGCCAGACTGGATCAGCAGGGGGCACCTCAGCCCCTGTAAGTTCAGGAATTGTTGGTTAAAGGGTGCACACTCAGTAACTCAGAAAAGGAAACCTGCTTCCCATAGGCTTAAAGTTGCTTCCAGGCTCTGTAATATCATCACAGGATAGTTTGTAATCTGCTAGTTGAATAAGTATGAAAGTTCCCAGTCTATGTAAAAGTGACCAGTAGTAGAGCCTGCTTAAATGATGAACATTTTAAAACAATGTGTACACATGCCCCTAGTACAGTCTCTCTTATTTTCATTCTGAGAGATGGGCAAAGTAAGTCTGTTGTGTGCTCATCTTTATTTTTAACCAGCATGGGGAACAACTGCTTGGTAAAAGTAAAAGAGTAAGTAAAAAACAAGGCAAAAACCAGAAACTGACTTCTCTCTCTTTTTGTTTTTCTAGTGAGATACAAGGAGGGGTTAGAAATTCACCTAAGAGGACCTTGCAATTTGTCTTATTGGAGACTAGCCGTTGAAAGCCTACAGCATGACCCAAATGGGGACAAGCTTTTACATACTTTTGTGTTCTGTTTCTTGAGATGAATTCTGAATTCTTCTGGAGGCCAAGAGCTGTCGGGGCTTATAGAAAGGGACTCTTGTTTATAAATTCTGTGTTACAATGTAAAGGAAAAAGAGACAAATAAGCACTGTCCTCACAGCTTGTGATGTGTCTTGTTACAGAACAGAGTGAACCTGCTTAAAAAGATAACCAAGGAACATGAGCAGTACAGCGCTAATGTCAACCGGTTTCAATCATGGCTGAATGGTGTGACGGAAAGATTAAACTCCTGCATTGGAGAAGCAACCGAGTATTCGGCAGAGGACAAGTTAAAAGCACTGAAGGTCCTTAAAAGTATAATTCTAACAAGGAGCTAGGATTGTGTGTTCTTTCTTTATGCCCTTATATGTTTCTCAAACCACACAAGAGTGTACATGAGAATTCATTCATTCATTCATTCATGGCTTGACTTCGCGAACAAAGATTTGGGAAGGGCTTTACCTATGCTTACTACAAGCGCGCTGATGACTGAAAAGGCCAATGTGGGATAGGCAAATCCGGCTGCAAAAAGCACAGCAAAAGGTCTCCTTGGGTGGTATAGGTGGGGCGTGATTTTTTTCTACGTCGTCTTTTCTCCTCGAGGCTAGTTCTGTGTGAGTTCTCAAAGGAGTCAATGGCATTATGTATGGTGTGTCTCCAAGTCTCCCGATTGGAGGCCAAGGTGGACCACTGATGGTAGGCAATATGGCCAAGGCTAAGGTATTTTTTCGGGGAGACCTTATATCTCTTCTTTGGGGCACTTCGCTTGCAGCAACTGGTGGCAAGGTCACCATACAATACAATCTTGGGGAAGCGGTGATCCTTCATCCTAGAGATGTGCCCTGCCCAGTGCAGCTGCAGTTTCAGCAATATGGCCTCGATACTGGTGACCCCTGCCTGTTCGAGGACAGTAACATTTGAGAAAAGAATTAAACAAATGAAATAAGGTGTGATTTTAACATGGGTTGGAAGAAGAGTTGTATCAGGTCCTTAAACTGTTAGTACATGTGGTTCTTCCAACTGTAAAGTCACAGGCTAGTCTATTTTGTTCTTCATAAAGCCTCATTTCCTATGGTTATATGATTCTTTGAGAATCTTGCCCTTTAAACTTGTTTAAATGAGTGATATTTGGTAATCATGATCCAAATAAAGCCTGAAGGCTCATGGGTTTTGAGAGTTCAGAGCTGGTGATACTCATACCAGTTTTGAGAACAGTATCTGATATTTTGGTGCCACTGCCTGTACTCTTTAGCTTTAAATCTCTCAGAGATCTGACTGTAAGAATTCCTCAGTGCCTGTAGCTCCTGTTGTCTTTGTCAGGGACCTCAGATAACAAGCATTTATGAAAACCAAGCCAATATTTTCAGAATCGTGGTAGTTAGTAGTACTCAGAAGGCAAGCGAATTACCAACCCTGGTTTCTGGTCACTTGAAAAGAAACATACTTTGTAATAAGAAGGGAAGAACAAAATATGTACAAACAGGAGTGGCGGTCTTTTTTTTTTTTTTCTCTACTGCTTTCAGCTTTTCCCCCAGTTTCCCATCCCTGCAGCTAATCTTTAACTTCTTTCTGCAGGAAATTGCCAAAAACATTAGGAGTGGTGGAAAGAAATTAGACCAACTTGAAAATGAGTGTGCAAATGTGATTGAGAATACCTCCCCACTTGGAGCTGACAGAATGAAGGATGAACTTGAAATGCTGAGAAAAGCCTTGGAGAAGTTGAAAGTGCTGCATAGTGAGGAGGAGGAGAGATTGCTTAAGATCCAGGAGTCAGAAAGTGCCTATGAGTCCAAAGCCAGACAGTTAGAAGCAGACATCAAGGTGTTGAGAAAATATTTACAGAAATTAGAAAATCACCTAGAGCCTGGGGAAGGGGAAAAGACTGAAGATGAGTTTGTAACCCTGTGGAGAAAATGCAACGTAAGTTGTTATCCTTTGTATGTCTAAAACAAGCAGGATCAAAGGCAGCCATAGATTGAGCATGAATAGTCACATCCAACAAGTGCCTGTTCCACTGATTAAAGGTGGTAAGGAAAGAGTATGATTGTGTATGAAACAGACCAAGGAAAATGTGAATAGTGAGTGGAATCAACTATTTTAGACTTTATCTCACTCAGCACAGAGGGAGCAGGGTTGGAACATGTGTTGGAGTTTGTCTTGAGTTTGAAGGGACCACATGCAAAAAGAGCACAGTACAGAGCAAACAATATAATTTGCCCTACTTAAAAAAAAGGCAAGAAAATACTGTGTGACCGTATATACAAATTCACATACACACACACATATACATCTATTTTGGGGTATTTGGCAAGACTATTTCTATATTTTTCTTTCATCTGTGTAAGGTATGTTCCTGTATTCCTTTACCAGCAGAGATATCTTTAGTCCTATAAAGTCCCCAAGTTTATAGTAATCCAGTATTTACACTAAAATCAATCTGTTGCAAAAATGAGTGCAAAAAGTTTGTCATGCATAACGTAGATAAGAATCTTTGCCACTCATTTCCTCTTGAGGGCTGTTTTTGTATTTATTATCTCTTCTCAAAATGCCTTTCATTGCAATTTATATGTCTCGAACTAAGCAGAGCTAGCTAGGAAAAGTGTGGTTCGGTTGATACGCTGGAGGGAAGGAATGCCATCCAGAGGGACCTTGACTTGCTATGAGGTGGGCTGATGCCAACCTCATGAAGTTTAACCATGCCAAGTGCAAGGTCCTACACCTGGGTCGGAGCAATCCCAGGCACAGCTACAGGCTGGGCAGAGAAGAGATTCAGAGCAGCCCTGTGGAGAAGGACTTGGGGGTGCTGGTCGATGAGAAAATGAACATGAGCAGGTAGTGTGCGCTTGCAGCCCAGAAAGCCAACCATATCCTGGGCTTCATCAAAAGGAGCGTGACCAGCAGGTCGAAGGAGGTGATCCTGCCCCTTTACTCTGCTCTCCTGAGACCTCACTTGGAGTATTGTGTACAGTTCTGGTGTGCTCAACATAAAAAGGACATGGATCTGTTGGAACAAGTCCAGAGGAGGGCCACGAGGATGATCAGGGGACTGGACTACCTCCCATATGAAGACAGGCTGAGAAAGTTGGGGCTGTTCAGCCTGAAGAAGAGAAGGCTGTGTGGAGACCTCATAGCAGCCTTCCAGTATCTGAAGGGGGGTTATAGGAATGCTGGGGAGGGACTCTTCATTAGGGACTGTAGTGACAAAACAAGGGGTAATGGGTTAAAACTTAAACAGGGGAAGTTTAGATTGGATGTAAGGAGGAAATTCTTTCCTGTTAGGGTGGTGAGGCACTGGAATAGGTTGTCCAGGGAGGTGGTGAATGCTTCATCCCTGACAGTGTTCAAGCCAGGTTGGACGAGGCCTTGGGTAATATGGTTTAGAGCGAGGTGTCCCTGCCCATGGCAGGGGGGTTGGAACTAGATGATCTTAAGGTCCTTTCCAACCCTAACTATTCTATGATTCTATATGCAAAAAAAGGATCCACAAAAAGCTGACTGGTTCAGTCCAGCTATATTTACTTTTTTTTTTTGTTCATTTCTTGACCTAAAGCACTCTAAAATCAACATGCTGTATATATGAGTCTTTGGGAAAGACCTATTCATGCAAACAGATGCAGTTAAGTCTGCTCCAAAAATGCGTTTCATGTTTTATACTGCAATCAGTGAGCTGAGACTGGACCTGTTTGTGATTCATTCAGTGAAACTTGCAGATCAGGTGCAGAGACTAGGCACTGTGAAGAGAAGAGAGAGAGCTTGCAGGAGCAAAACTGTTCTGGAGAATGTTTTCTGCTTTAACAAAGTCTGTATTCCATAGAACCAGAAAAAAAGGCAGCAGCAGAACGGGAATGTGTGAATACCCTGAGAGACAGCCTCATCTCTTACCTCTTACATGTGCCAGACACTAAATTAGGTGTAATAGCATAGTGAGGATTGGAAAAGACCTTAAGATCATTCAGTTCAAACCCCCCTCCCATGGGCAGGGACACTTCACACTAAACCGTGCCACCCAAGGCTCTGTCCAACCTGGACACCACCAGGGATGGAGCATTCAGTTTCCCTGGACAACCCATTCCAGTGCCTCACTGGCCTCACAGTAAAGAACTTCTTCCTTATATCCAGTCTAAACTTCCCCTTTTTAAGTTTTAACCCATTACCCCTTGTTTTGTCACTACAGTCCCTAATGAAGAGTCCCTCCCCAGCATCCCTATAACCCCCCTTCAGATACTGGAAGGCTGCTATGAGGTCTGCATGCAGCCTTCTCTTCTTCAGGCTGAACAGCCCCAACTTTCTCAGCCTGTCTTCATATGGGAGGTAGTCCAGTCCCCTGATCATTCTCGTGGCCCTCCTCTGGACTTGTTCCAACAGATCCATGTCCTTTTTATGTTGAGCACACCAGAACTGTACACAATACTCCAAGTGAGGTCTCAGGAGAGCAGAGTAAAGGGGCAGGATCACCTCCTTCGACCTGCTGGTCACGCTCCTTTTGATGCAGCCCAGGATATGGTTGGCTTTCTGGGCTGCAAGCGCACACTGCTGGCTCATGATAAGTTTCTCACTGACCATTAATCTATTAATTGTTTTTATGATGAAGGCAACAAGAGCAGCTCTGGCTGCAGAAGAGTCCAATGTCGAGAGACTGAAGGCTCAGCTTAAGGAACTGCTACGGTTTTCCCAAGATGTGCAGCCACACACTGAGAGTGTTGTCTCTGCAATACAGCAGTATCAAAGGTAATGGGAAGTCTGTTTATGCTAGGGGGGGTGGGGAGGAATTGCCTCTCAGACACTGAAATAATTAACAAGGACCTAAGAAAAAGGTAATGTGCCATCCAATTGTAGGTGACTGGTGAAAAAGAAAGGCTTCTGCTAATTACATCCGCCTCCACATTGCAGTAAACCTATAATTTTAGTCATTTGCTAGGAGCTGTAGGGTGCTGGCTATTTTCAAGCAATGATCTTGCATCATTAATGTTGTGTATGGTTTGAAGAAAATCAGATTGTTGGCAGCTAATTTGATCATCTTAGCATTTTATAATAATAATTTATGTATTTTGCTTACCTTTTATGACAGCAACTAGAAATTCAGGACAAGAGCTGTAGCAGTAAACGGTTCAGAAGAATTATGACACTCCCTTGTTGACTTTATGGTAGTGATTCATCAGCCTTAACGATTATTTGGCAGAGTTTATTCTCTTTCTCCTGCCAGCATATGTGCATGATTCCTGTTTTCAACTTGCCTTGGGTTGGAAACTCTGAAAGTTTAGCCTCTCCCTAGACTTAAGCGTTTCCGTTTCCAGGCTGCCTGGAATCAGGAAGTAAGGAAGCTGCAGCAAATTTTGCAAACTAGAAGGAAGGAACTTTTTTTTAAGGAAAAAGAAAGGTCAGTTTCTTTGCTGTATCCAAGCTTATCTTCCTCTGTTGAGTGCGCAGTATACTGTTCTGTTGGAAGGGGGTTATAGGTCGTTATGGGAAAGAATTTCAGTTTGAAAACTAACTAGTAGGCGATGTTGAATGAGAAGCAGAGAAGGCAGAGGACTTGCCTCTGAGTAGGAAATGGCAGCTGCTCTTTTGCCAGCTCCTCTAAAGCTTCTTTGCGAAGCCTGGCAGCTTCACGCTGAGCCTCTCAGGGGCAGCAGAGCAAATAGCAAAGAACATGTAATGTTAGAACTTTCTATTTGTGGAGCTTTTGGCCTCTGCAAGCTTGCCTTTGTTTACCTCCATGACGTCCCACTGACACAGGTAAGATTATTGGGTTTGATTTTATAGAAAGGCAGAATTAATCTTGATTGGCATTGCTCTTGCCAGCCTGTTTTGTGAATCTGCATGATACTGTTCCCATGTGAGCATACAGTTTGGATTGCATTCTGCCATATCAAATAGGATTCTGTAAACTGGGAAGTCAGGAAAGCTGAGAAAAAAAAAGGAGGCAGCTGCATGGGGTGTGCCACTGCTAGGCCTTGTTACTCAGCTGTAATTTGGATAAGCCTTTATAGGAGAAGCTTAGATGTTTAGTGAATGTGCACTGATTTTTTTTTTTCATTTTTTTTCCCAACATTTATGCACACGTAGCTGTGCATGCATGTGTAAACATATATATATATATATATACACAAATACAAAGCTTTTTATCAGAATCACCCATAATATATTAATATAAGTACTACTGGTCCAGCAAAATTTAAAAAAATTGTATCTGAAAAAAGTATATATTTTACTCTTTTTGTAGGTATCATAGGGTGAGCAAAGATTTCTTAATGTAATTTTGTGAAGGAATAAAGATAATATGTAAAACAATGCAGTCAACTAAGTTAAATTCTAGACCCTCTTGGCTTGTTCCTCCCATCAGTCAGTGAGGCCACTCTGATAGTATGATTTGTTTAATCATGCGGGTGATGACAAGCAGCCAAGAAAGATCACATGAGGGGAGACTGCTGGCTGCTAGAAAGGCAAAGTAATTCCTGATACACAGTTGCACAAGAGACAAATGTGTCTAAATAAAGTTTTGTTGTATGTCTCTGACTTAGCACCTGTCAGTACGCAACACCAGGCTCAGACAATAAAAAAGACTGAGGCTTTTGTATCGGATACAGTTTGCACATGAGCATTGTGTTAATTCATGCCTTGATGAATACAGTGTTTGGACTTGGATTTCTCTGTAATCCTTCTCTCGGCTGTCACTTTCCCCTTGCAGTGTTAGAGGCAAGACATCTAAAATGAGCACTGATACAGAAACTGAACTGAGAAGACTCTTCCAAAATCCCCTGCTAGACTTTGAACGGTGGAAGCCATCAGTCCAAATGCTCCTGGAGACTCCAGAGCCAGCACTGGCTCGCATTGAGGTAGCAAACCTGTCATTAAATTCAGAAACTGATTCTTGGTTTGTGTTTGTCCAAGCTCTGCCAGCAGCTGCCTGCATACAGCTGCTGGACAGAAGCAGCTGGAAGGGCCTTTCCAGTATGGCAGGAGCCCCAAAAGAATGGAAGTCAATACTTAGCTCTAGCTGTAGCAGAATGCCTTACTTTCGTCCCTTTAGTTAACTGGAGTTGTCAACTGAATAGGCTGAATTGAAGTGCTAGATACCTTTAACAATTATGATAATATTGTTTAGCATTAGCCCAGATCTCCCTGGAAGGGAAATCTGTGACCTCTGTCAAGAGCTGTGTAGTAATACATTCATGGGATTATAATGCATGATTTCTGCATGTACCTAGCAAGGTGCTTTTGTTACTTTGTCATCCCTGTGATCTCCAGAATAAATGTGTCTGTGAACAGGGATGGAGTTTATCCTTGGGATAAGCATTCAAGCTGTCCTTTCTGTTGGTTGTTTAGGCCTCTCCTCTGCACAGACAACTCTTTCCATAGTACAGCTTTCCTCTATTTCTGTTCACAAAATGGATGCAGCCCTGGTGCTTCTAACATTATCAGGAAGACTTTTCCTTTAACTGGGCACTGTCCAGGTACCTTCTGTTACCCCTTGTTGGCCCAGCATGCTGTTTTTTACCCAACTGTGTCGTACTGCTTTGGTTGTGTGACTTGTGTGAGAATAATATAGTTGTATGATTTTTAATGTTTTTGGTATGATTTCACTGGAAGAATCTTTCTCCTTAGGCTGCTCTAGCTGAAAGCTCCCGCTTCAAAGAGAAGTTCATGATATTACAGCTGAAGACGGATTTGCTAAACAATGTCCTTGGTGAGGAAAAAGCAAAGACTTTCCTGCAAGAAGTAGCTGAAGCTTCAAAGAAGAGAGAAATTATACATGAAAGTCTGATGCAGAGCAAGAGGACAATCCAGGTGAGCTTTAAAACCCATATATAGTCTTGTGACAATGATCAATCTTTTACTCAGCCAGTTACATCAATATAAATTTAGTACTAACCAGATGTGCTGAGTCCATTTTTCTAGGTTGATCAAATATTCAAATAATTCTGTGGTCTGTTAATAGTGTAGCTTGGTGTTTGTTCTGAGTATGAAGTGGACATTGACAAAAGGTAATGCCAAAGGATATATGTTGAATGCTGTATCTTTTTTCTTCTTTCTCCATCTACAATTTGCTATCTCAACATAAGCACTTTGATGCTGGTTTCGCACCTTTGCAGAAGAAATTATCTGCCATTAGAGCTAAGTTGGATCTAGAGAAGGAACTGAAACCTGACCTCCTGGGTAAAAAGACACAACTCCAGAGACTTCAGGTACATTACAGTAATGCTTGACTGTGATATCCTCAGTTAATTGTGGTCCTGTTTGTTCATATTTTATTAGCATTAGGAACTCATATCTTGTCTTCTCTATTTCATTTGAATGAAATTGAAGCATTGCAGCTGAAGAATTGGCAAATTGGGCTTGCAGAAAGGAGCAAGCAGCTGGAAGCTGTTGGTCCCACACCTTTCTGGGCTAGTTTGATTGGTAAAATAATTTGTATCCTGATACTTCCCACTGGGAGTGAAATTGCAAAGATAACCTGAACCAATCTAACTTCCTTCAAAAGCAGGGAGTTTCCATTGTCCTACCTCTTTCTGCGTTCCTTCCCCTTCCTGCTCTTTACCTCCACAGCTTTGACATATGCTGGGTTTACTCCAGAGGCTGATTGGGCTGGCCAAGATAAGGGGAAAAAAAGATTCTAATTTTCTGCTTGCTTAGTGTTTTGAACCGATTCAGCAAAGGGTCCAATGTGCAATAGAGCCTATTCAAGGCATGTGGTGGGACTACATAGGTGGGAGAAGGGAGAGAAGAACAGGAGGGGAAGAGAGAAGGGATGCTACTCTTCCCTTTTGGCCTGGTGAGCTATGGTGATCCAGCTGTATGGTGCTACTTCACCTGTGGTGACCACAGAGGTGTTATCACCATAGCTCTTAGTAGTACTTAGCTGGTTATACTCTTGTCTCCTCTGGTGGCTTTCCAGCAACTTACCTTCTTTGTTATCAATTGGTAATGTTGGAAGGACATCCAACCATTTCTTTTGGAAACATTTACTCCTGGGCACCAAATAGTAAGTTTTATTAATGACAGTGATTATTACTGGGTTTTTTTTTTTTGTTTTCATACTGTCAAATGAAACTACCTTTTATTATACATTTTGTGAAAGTTCATACCATACCTGGCATATCACCCATATGGAATCTTCCGCTGCAGATGATCCAGGATGACTTGGCAGAGCTTGTGGCACAAATGGAGGAGGTAGAGAAGCTTGTTCAGTCAAATACCACCCACAAGCATGAAATGAACCAACTTTCGTCTGACTCTCAGGCCCTGAAGATAGCACTGAAGGTAACATAAGGCAGAGGTTTTCATGGCCTGAGGAGTTTTCAGTTGCCACTATTTAAAAATATTTAAAAATCTGTAAGCATATGAGGTTATATCCTTTGAGTGACAGATATTTTCATTTAAAAGAAGAAGGTACTGTTGAATTCAGACATTGATAACTCTTCCAGGATTCTCTGAATATCTGTAATGTGATTGCCTTTGGGACAGGATACCATCCACACAGTTCTTATTATATATATAAATCTTACATCTATATAAATCATATCTGGAGTGGGCCTGGGATTTCTGATCTAAAGACCTTATGGAGGTGCTTGGCTTATTCACAGATTCCTAGAGAGTGGTTTTATACCAAACTGTTTGGTTTTTATAGTTTCGTGACCTAAAAGTTAAGAACAGTGTTGCAGTTGTGCAAGTACTAGTTTTGACCTGAAGTATTTTGTAGTTTATAGACATAGCTATAAAAGGACAGTCCATTCCAAAGTAGTCTCAGAAGAACAGCTTATAAAATCACCATGGAAATACGTATGATAAAGTGTTACCCTAATACACACTGTGAAATTCTAGTTTCAATTTCAGTAATCCTATTTATTGCTGAACTGGACTTTTGCAAAAAAATTCTGTGCAGTAACTTCTGATTCAGGAAATTTCTGATTCTGAAAGTATAAGTTATATTTAATATTGACTGGAGTATTAAAAAACCCAAACATAATCTTTTTTCTGTTTCAGCTGAAAAGGGAGCTATTTTAGTGCTTAATGCCCACCCTGCCCCATGTGGCTGAATTCAGGCCTGCAGGCTCTTGTAGGTGTTTTCTATGCCACTGATGTTAAAGGACAAAATTTTCTGTGTCTCATTAACGGATCAGTTTGTTTTTGTTTTTCCCTTCTTGCTCATGAAATTCTCTGTCAGTAGTTACATATTAGATCCAGTAATGAAACTGGGTTGTTGGTTTTTTTTGTCTGTTCAGTTATTGGCAAATTTTTACTGTTTGTAGATGATGATACAACAGAGTGAAGAGCGCATTCAGAAGCACTGTGCATATCAAGACAAACTCTTTGACCTTCAGCAGTGGATCAAACTAATGACGGAGATGATTGAGCCCTACCAGGGTGCTGAAGGAGACCAGAACACTGAGGGTCAGGTGGCAGACCTTAAGGTGAGAACAACATGGTGTAAGACGTTAATTATTCACCTTGGAGCATTCAGACATTAAGGGCAGGGTTTTTCTGGTGAGGATTTCCTGGCTGGGGGGAGCAATGGTGGCTTGTTCCTCCTGCAATGACTGTTGTTTACTGCCGCCTTCCTGCTTTGCCTACCTCTACATCCCTCACACTGTGCTGTGGGATGGTGTAGCTAGGTAAAAACAAGAATGATGAGAAATGGCTAAGAACTGTTGAGATGGATAAAGCGTTATCAAAGGATAGGTGGTTTTAAAGGGAGCTCTTCTGCCAGGGTGATCTCTTGGGAGAATACCTACCTTGGCCTGTATGCACTCATCGATACCTTGAACGTTATTACCCTGTTAGCTAACACTATACTGTATTGAACTGAGCCATTGCACAGCTGATACTGCCACACAGGAAGAAGCTATTTTGCATGCTCAATTCACTCTGACGGGTTACTTCAGCTCGCAGCTTTTTCCTTCACAAGGGACACACAAGATATTTCATGGGAAGGCTACTGAAGGGGTGCATTGGCAGTTTTGCCATCAGCTCTTTGACCTATGTTGGCTCTTTGCAAGAATCCACAGCATATTTTTTTTCCCTACTAGGTATGTTCTAGCTAGTGCCAACAGAACCAGCATAGTCCTGGACTGAACATGGCCTTCAGTCTGACATAGCCTCTGCTTTACCCAGGATACCTAGAAGTAACTGTAAGGGCTGTACATTTCAGAGATGGCTAGCTGACTTACCAGATAAGGAGATCCAGCTGTGCCTTGTGAAAGCTTCTGGAAAACTGGTCATGGAGAATTCTTCCCCAGAGGAGACTGCCCATGTCCAGGCCGAGCTGGATCAGCTGGAGGAATCATGGAGACTGCTGAAGAAGATGGAAACTCAGTAAGTGTTCATGTGACATTTCCTCATATCTCTTCAAGGGATATGAGGATGATATGTTGGTAAGATATGTATGCTGCTATATGACCAGGAACAGTTGATGTTTTATGCTGTGTGCTGTGAAAGTGAGCAACCATGTTAGAATGTTAGGAGCAAGATGAAATTTTATTTAATTTTTTTGTAAACTGGAAGTCATTACTCTTAAGAAAACCATTTTAAAGAATCCAGGGGGCAGAGCAGTCTATGAAGATGCCTTTACTTCATGCTTGGTGTAGGCAGTGCCTCCTTGAAACCTGGCTAACCCTGGTACTACCAGTTTGTGTCAGAGGAAATAGGACATAGACAGTTGATTTCTGCTATTCTGTCTCACCTTCCTGTTCTCCTAACTGTCTGATCTGGAGATATTTCCAAGGAGGCTGTATCTGCACTGTGATTTGTTCTTTTTTCAAACCTGCAGGAGGTTAAACAGAGCTCAAATCCTCTTACCTGGCAAATTTATTATAATAAATATATTTAGATTTAGATTTATATATTTATATTGATAGATTCTGTGATTCTGTATATTTATATAATAAATTTTTTTTTTTATATAAAATGTAATATATTTATTGAGCTTAATTTATTTTGACCTCACTGTGCAATGCCAAACTGCTACTGTATTAAAATTTAATACTGTGCTACATGTGTAATTATATTCATACATAGTGTCAGAATAGACATAAAAATGGAGTGACTAAATTGAGGAAGGCTTCATTGTACTGCCTGTTGTTACGAGATGTGAAGATACATTGTTAAGGTTGTATTATTTTTGTTCCCTCACTTCACTGAATGAAAGAAAACAAAACACTTGGAAATATCAGAACAAGGGGACTGGTGCTGCTTTGAGACACTCCTGTCTTGTTCTTACTTTGTTAAAAATACGTTGGAAATAACTTTGTTATAGTGCTATTAATAATACATTTTCACCTTAAATGTCCCCATAGACCCAGTGAAAGTGTGATGTCTCATCATTATGTTTAACCGCATTGGTGTCTTCCATTTTGTGTTTTCAAGTCTTCTCAATAAGTGGCAGTTAAGTAAACCAGTGATTGATAATAAGAAGAAAATACAATTTGTGGACAGCAGATGGATGTCTGGACCTGTGTTCCATCATTCAGATGTAGATCCCAACCATAAGCAGGTGAGAGGGGACTCTATATCTGACTTCATATCAGCTTCACAAAAACAATTTTATTGGCTTCATGTGATACTATGGGTACAGTGTTGGAGGTTAAGATCTTGCAATCAGGCCTTCAGAGGAAACATCTGACGTAACAGTAAGAGCTTTTTTGTTTCTGTTTTTCTGTAACCTAGGAGAGGATCAAAGAAGGGCAACATACAAGCAGCCACTTGAAGCTTCTACACGAATTTGAAGAGTGGTTACAAGGAGAAAAAAAGAAACTGACCAAAATTCTTGATGTGGCTTCATCTTCCACAGAGGAAATTAAAACACGCAAGAGCAAACTGGAGGTTAGTTTTCAGGGAATTAAGATGGAGACAAAGATGGAAGCAGTTCTTTCAGAATTAAAACAAACCCAAAAATCACACATCCCATCAATAAACCAACAAAAAAACCCCAACAAACTCCCCTTCCCCCTCCAAAACAAGGAGGACAAAAAAAAAAACCTGCCACCACCAAAAAAACCCCCAAACCTGACAAAAGACCAAACAAAAACTCAAACACTACACATTTTGGTTTAGGATACTTTAGAGTAGATGAAGCTCAGGAATTTAGGACAAGTATTTAACCCCTTCTAGTAAGAAAGATCTGTTAGAGCTGGAGTGGTAGGAAGGGAGCAGCCTGACATCTAGTTGTTGGACTGGACGTTTCCAGCATGATATGGCAAAAGGTGTCCATTAAAACAATCTGATCAAAATCAGTGTCTGCTATTTGGCCTCACATGTTCTCTTTTTGTTGAGTGTAGCCAGATACAATGATAATGGATGCTGTAAGAAATTAAACAAACACAAATCCACTTCCTGCAGGGGAGTGGAGCTTTTGATATTGTTTCAGGCCAAAAAATTAATAACAACAATAAATGCACTATTCCAGAGTACCCAGTTGTTTCATTTAGTACCACTGTTCTTTTGAATACCAGATTTTAAAAGTGGGGCCTTCTTGAATTCTGGGTTTCTGCTGATCTTGTCTTTGCCTGCAGGAGCTGCAGTCTCATGTGCCTGATGGTCAGCGTCTCTTTGAGGATCTTCTTCATAGTCAGCCTGTCACTGAATATTCTGAAGATCTGGAGGACCTCCGTTACCAGTGGATGCTCTACAAGTCTATACTGAAAGAGTCCATGAGTACACTGGTAGGCTACAGCGCTCAGTTCACAGTTGCTGATCTTTGCCATTGCCCTTTTAGGTTGCTTCATGCTGTTAGTCATAATTTAAGAGTATGCGTGTCTGTGTCTGTGTCTGCATAATTAAAACCCTTTTTAGTAAATGCCATCAAAGACAGAACAAATATAGCTATAGCATTCTCCACCAAATTATAATTTTTATTTAATGGTTCCTGCAGTAAGAATATATTCACTGTTCATTTTTATCACCCGCTGGAAGACAGAGTGATCAGAATAGCCACTAACTGAACTGACTCAGAAAGTAACTATGCACAGAAGGACCTAGTCCTTTTTGAAAATGTCTTTATGGGCCAAGGATTTGACTGTCTTTATGGGCCAAGGATTTGACATGAAATAAAGAATAGGTATTTTAATGCAAGAACCAAATGGTTAAAAGAAGTTACTGAGTTGTGTACAAGGCATGCTAAGTGTGGCAGAATTCATCCCCATATAAAAGATATTCCAGGGCATGTTAAAGATAATTTCCTTGTTCTTAGTGTAAACATATGTAATTAAGTACTTGCCTACGTGTTAAACTTCAAGATACCATAATCTTGAGGTTTAGATTTTACAGGTATGCATTTGGTACTTTCAGTATGCAAGTGCTTTGGAAGGTATCAGAACTCAGGCACCTAAAATTCAACATACTTGAAAATTTTCTGCTTTGGGAAACCTTGTCTTCAAATCCAAAGCTTATTTAGAATACAAATCCTTGAAAGTGTATGTGAAGATAAGCATGACCTCTCTTAATAAGGAGCATATTGAAGAACTGTTTGCAGTTGATTGTAATGCGTTTTGCTTTGTTGACCAAAACCTTGTGTAAGCATAAATATAGTCAATAGGTGTCAGTAAAGGCAAAGCTATTGCTGGTAGAACTGCTCATGTGATTCAAATGGGCACGAACCTGAAAACATCAGCTTTTTTGCCTAATGTGTGTTAAAAAGCTCGTTAAAAAAAAAAAAAAAAGAAGAAGAAGAAGAAGAAAAAAAGAAAAAAAAAAGAAAAAAACAAACCAAAAAAACTTTTCCTGCTGGTTCACCCTATCCAGATGACCATGAATTTTAAAGAAACATCCCATGTGAGGTGAATACTCATTTATAGGCTCCACTGGGATCTTAAGTTCATGCTGCTTTTGTTTTTCTCTTTCTTTCTCTTTTTTTTTTAAACAGAGTCCTGGAACTTCTGAAGAACCAGACAGATTCAGAAAGGTATGACAGTTTCCTATCGTTAAGCTAAAATGTTTTATTAGGCATCTTGCAGAAAATTAGTTTAACTTAAAACTTTTCTAAAATTTCTTGAGATTAATTTGCTTGCTAAGTGCCTCTGTTAAAGAAGGAATTTATTTCCCCCATATTTTAAATGGAAACATATTACACCATTTTAACGCTTGAGCTATGCTTACTGTAGCTATAGAAGTTAAATACCCATCTCCTGCGAGAGTAGGGGAACTCTGTTTTTCTACATCGATATGCTATATGAACTTAATTAATTTTTCAGAAGAGACTAAGGAACAGCCCAAGTCTGCTTCTAAAGGATTTAGGGGTCAAGTGCCTAAAAGAATTTTGAAAATGGGACTTCTGATTCTTCAGATACTTCTGAAAAAATTGTGTTGGATCATTCAGCCCACCTTCTAATGCAGAAAACCAGAAAGAGTCAAAAGATTTGTCTAATGTTATTAGACTAAATACTTATAAGCAGCAGAACTCCTCCTGTGAAGGATTTTCTTTTGAAAGTGATGATATAAGAAACAGATACAGTACAGGAGATGATAAAGAGAAGCTTAAAAAAAACAAAATGCTGCCAGTTTCTTATTAAACCCAAGCAGCTTTTCTGATTCCATTTTTATAATGTCAGTAAGTTTACTGTTGACCTGAGCAGTGCTGAACTGAGTCTTTTCTCTCTGTCATTATTTGTTTTGTTTATAGATACTATTAGCTTCTACTTTGTACTCTCATCTTGCTTTCCATTTGTTTTCAGGAGGAATAGGATAAGGCATTATTTACCCAACACGAAGTAGATTGGGTGAATAATGTGTTGCAGGAATATAATCACTTAATCATCTTAAGCTAAATCAAACCCTTGGTTTTTCCTGTTGCAACATCTCTTTAGAAGAGACCGATATTTAAAGGATGCAGCACAGCGTACTTGTAGTATGGCCAGAAATCAGACTTCCCTTATTTCAGTGAGATATTCCTCTGGTACTCAAATGTGGAATAGCATCTTGAATATTTTTCCCCATGAAATACTGACCAATTTCAGGTAGTTTTCACATTCACTGAATTGTTTTGGCAGCAGTTCTGCCTTCCTGAAAACACACAGAGAGTTTATATTCTTTCTTGTCTGGCTCAGCATTAATTGTTTGGTACCACTGGTGGTCATCCACTAAGGTTACCAGAATTTTTCAGGCTGGAAAAACAATATGACATTTACTAATTGGTGTAGAGGCTGCCAAACATTTAGTAGTGCTGCTTTTCCCTAGAATAAGGATAGTCCAGAAGACCGAGTTCTCTGCTTTCCTATGATTTGGTTGGGTCAGGTTGTTTGTAGGGAAAATATTAGAGAAGCTTAAGGCAGAAGCACATCTCCACTGCACATTTAGATACCATTTTTTAATTCATCTGGCCTACTGCCTTGGGGCAGGTGGTATTTATTCCTTCTTCTTTGAAAGAGACTGAAGTCTTCCGTTAATTTTCGAGGATACTGGAATAACATAATGGCAAGCAGCAACCTCTCGACAATTAGGTCTACAGCAAGAGCACACACACACACAAAAAGTGTTCTGTGAGTTTTTAATAGCTAGTGAACATAAACAAAGAGAAACAGCTTGGGGTGGGAATGAACTGAAATACCTTGTAAGCGTGATGGAAGCAGCTCCTATTGTACCAGCAAGTGATTTTCAGTTTCCCTTCAGCCAGTACACATTACAGTAACTTACACCTTGCTTGCTTCAGGGTGATTTTGCTTGAAACATTCATTCTGTATTTAAGTGTCACGACAATGAGAATCCAAGTGCTATAAGCAGAGGTGTCTTTTTTTTTTCATTCAGGCTAAGGGGTTTATCAGGATGTGAGTGTGTATGGTCATAAGATCATAGATCACCACTTAAGAGAACCAGAAAATAGTGTTCACTGTTCAGGCTGAGAGAAGAGGAAAAGCAAATCAGCTGCAGAATTTGTGGCTTTGCGGTTCATTTTTAAGTTTATATTTAACACCTGAAGTGCAGCCAGAAATGAAAGAAAGATTAGGCAAAAATATTTTTTGTATGTTTTGAATCTCCTTTCAAAACCATGGTGAAGGAAACCGGCTACCCTGAGAGAATGGGTGATATCAGGAGTTAATATCTGCAGAAAGTACACATGGTTGGGGGCTGCATCACTGTAGTTGCAACTTGCAGTCAGTTCACATGCAGTGGGATCTCTTACTTTGTCAGCTCCCTCCTGCTTTTGGGTCACACAAATTTAGCAGAGGTTGCAGAGTCACACATCATTTTGGACTTATCTCAGCTTTCTGCAGCACGAGGTCCCCAGTGACTCTGCTTGTTTCCTGTTAGAGCTGTGAAGGTTTTGCAGCAGCAGCAGATCAACATGGAGAAGGGGAAGACCCAGCTGTGGCCAGTCTCAGTCAATTGCCTTCCAGTTTTATTCCATTTCTAGCCTGCATGGCTAAATGTTGGACAGAGGAGAGCTTGCTCCATGTATAGTAATGTGCTTTTTTTCTGATCATTCATCCTTTGCTGAGGACATGCCCCTAGCCACTGGTGCTCTTAGAAGCAATACAGGCTAATGATTGTGATGTGAGCAACTTCTTGTTGATTGACAAAAAACAGTTGCAGGAAATTGCAGTGGCTGCAGTGAATTTTTAGCAGGTGCCAGTGACAGTGCAGTGTAGACGGATATTTATTCAGGGCACCTAGCACACCCAAGAACATAATTAACAAAATAATAACTATGATAAATGTTACTTTCAAAGGTTGGCTCCCAGCTACCTGAATCCATGAGCATTCTTATTATAAATAGGAAGTCAAAGATTCATTATTTACAGGTCTAGGTAACACTGATTTATTTTCTTGAGTGCTCAGAGTAATTATACTTCCTTGCTAAACAAATGATTCTGGCTTTATTGTTTGTACAAACAAAATAATTAGGATTCATTACATCAATGGTCAGCTAATTGCTTCATTTCAGATTCTGCTAAGAGTAATATCCTATAACACACAGAGAGAAGGAACACGTAATTTAATCTTACTCAGAGACACCATTGATCTGGAGTCTGTCAAATTAATGGAGTCATTCAGGAAACTGTGCAAAGCAAGAGCTGCCACAGCTTGCCAGGAAAAAAACAATAATGTGTTCTGCTCTTCCCAAGTGCAGATATGACAGGAATTCTTCATGGCAGAAATTCACATTACAGAAATGCATAGCATTGTGTGTACATGCCTGTGTTTGTGGTGCCTCTCTATTAAAAGTATGTGGCCCATTTGTTTTCCTGAAGTCCTGCTGGGTGTTAGCCACTTGCAATCTTCTCAGTAAGATGAAAAAGACCCATTAAAAAAGTATCTTTTCCTCAGTTTTCAATATCTCATTTGTTGATAGATTATTTCTCCATGCGCTTTTCATCATTGTGCCTATAAGCCTGTGCCTACCTGCTTTAGGAATTATGCCATGGCCCAAACACAGAAAGAATGACATCTTGCCATTAAGTATGAGCAAACAGACTTACTTGCTCAGCAGAAAGAAAACTTGGGGAAATAAAAAAATAAAAAGCTGAAATAGCCTGACTGCCTCTTCTTAACTCTGACTCACTGGTCATATGCCAGACAGTATTTTGCCCTTCTTTCTCCAGCTGGCCCATGAGCTTCCTTTCATATTGCTGCACCTGTGAGACTGCTTGCTGCCTGTCTGCTCTTATTTCTGTAGGTTTCATGTTACTTACCAATCCACATTAGAGATTTCCCAAATGGTAGAAAACAGGGACTCTTTGTTTGTCTTTTATCTGGTTCTGCCACTTCTGCACCTTGGCAACGCTCTTTCTCTACAGCGGTGCTGGTGCAAGATGAAGATGACCTCTTGCTTCCCAGGATGCCTGGTTCTTACTTTCTGTTAATGTGGTATTAGCTAGGTAATGTGGTTGATAGTCCCTGCTTTCTTTGTTGAAAAGATGCCTACGATGTTGTGAAGTATTTGCAGATTTTCACCAAGGAGATACCTTAGAATTATTTTCTCAGCAGATATAGCCTTACCTCCTAACTGAAAGGTAATGAGAGGTATTTGCTGACAATAGCAGAATGAAACCAATTTCCGGTATATACTTGAAAAATGCTTTTAACACTACTGTAAAAGCATGGTAGGAAAAAATCTTGTAGTCAATAGCCCAGATTGTATATGTATTAGTCTTAAAAATGTGATGGCTTACTTTTAAAATTATTTAAACAAAATGCAAATAACACTCAAATTATGTATAGTGAGTAAGGAAAGTTCAACCTTGGCTCAAGAGGAATTGCTTGTAAAGCAGGTGGAAACATACATTGGTGACGTGATGAACCAGCTTTTGACATCAGTAGCTTCTTCTGCAGGTTCCAGAACATATTGTCTTTATTTCAGTTTTTATTCCTTCTATGCCAAATTTAATTAGTTCATTTCAAATTGCAAGGCTGAGTGGAAGTTGGAAACTGGAAGTTGTTTTACTTCCCTGCCTTCCTGAATAAATGTAGAACACTGATGTCTTCTGCTAAATTTCGGATACACTGAAATGTCATGCAGCTACTTTGGTGTTCCTGCCCAAGGCAGGGGGGTTGGAACTAGGTGATCTTAAGGTCCTTTCCAACCCTAACTATTCTATGATTCTATGCTAACTGCTGCTAACTCTCCTTTTAAAAGTAGTACAGCATTACCTTTAAATACAAAATATGTCTATTGGGATAAATTGTATTGCTTATCAGTGTATTAAATCTGGTGGAGTACTCTTATGTTTTTGACAGAACCAGGTTAATTTCAATGAGCCCCTCACAGCTGCTCACTCACTCCATCTGCCCCTGCAGTGAGATGTGGGAGAACTGGAAGGGTGAAAGTGAGAAATCTGTGGCTTGAGATAAAAGCAGTTTAATAAGTAGAAGAAAAAAATTGAAAAGCAAAACAAAGAAAAGCGAGTGATACAAAAAACCCAGTATCTCACCACCAGCAAAATGATGGCCAACCAGTTCCCAAGCAATGGGCTCCCTGGTAAAACTCTCTTCCACCTAGTTTTTGTTGCTGAGCCTGTTGTCATATGGTAGGAAATATCCCTCTGGTCAGTTGGGGTCAGCTGTCCCAGCTGTGCCCACTCCTAGCTTCCTATTCACCCGCAGCCTACTCACTGGCAGCAGTGTGGGAAGCCGAAAAGGTCTTAATGCTGTATGTACACTGTTCAGCAAGAATGCAGTGGTGTGTTATGAACACTGTTTTAATCACAAATCCAGAGCATAGCCCTGTACAAGCTGCTCTGAAGAAAGCTAGCTCTATTCTGGCCAAAACTAGTACAACTGGTTTAAAAACATCTTACCCTGTTCTGGATCTTTTGCAAATACAAGAAACTAAGTGTAACTTACTGCCTGCTGTTAGATATGAAAACGTGCTTTAATTGCCTTACTGGACGTTTGACCTTCCATATTCTTATAATGTGGATCTAAGACATTTTTAGCAACCCATCCTACCTACCACTTTACTAGTCTTCCACAGTGCTTCCTAACTTTTAGCACATGTCACTTTCTAGATTAAATGAAAATAGTTTCCACTGATATGTTCTGAAGATCAGACCAAACCAGGACGACTTCTTGCTTAGGCCTGGAGAATTATAAAAATCAGTGCTACTTGAACAGATCAGGCTGTAGCTCTTGTCCTGTGGC